GGTCCAATTGTGACCATCGGCCCTGAGCTAACTGTGAATGTAGGTGTGCCCCTAGCCGAACAGACTGGCGTCTGTCATTAGGGTAATTCTGGCTGGTTCCTTGAATAAGCATTCTTTGGCTACTGCTGGGGAGATCCACCACTGGAGGGACTCTAGGTTTTGAGGGGGAACAATTACCCTCTAGTTGGAGGAGCTGGTGCCCTGTCTCTGGAATGGGAGTAAGAACCATTGAAGGGTTCTGGAGTGTAGCCTGGCCCATGGTACGATCCCCATACAAGAGACCATCTTTCCTAACAGTTGGGACAGTGTTGCCAGAGTGACCACACGCTCCCTTTGTACCTGCCAGATCAGGGCCCGGATGTTGTCCCAACGTTCTGGCAACAGGTAGACCTTGCAGAGTTTGGTGTATATGATTGCGCCTAGGTGCAGGAGGCAGGTTGAAGGTTCTGTCTGGCTCTTTTGGAAATTCACCGAGAACCCGTGGTCTTGAAGTGTCCTGATTGTCAAGGCCAGGTCCGACCGCACCCTCTGTAAGGATGTGGACTGGATGAGGATGTCGTCCAGGTAACATTGGACCAATCTTAGGTGAGCGACCAGGGCTGCCAAGATCTTGGTGAACACTCTTGGAGCGGATGCAAGGCCAAATGGTAGAACCTTGTACTGGTAGTGATGATTCACGTAGCAGAACCTGAGGAATTTTCAATGGTCGGGGAGGACGTGAAGGTACGCTTCTGTGAGGTCGACAGACATTAGGAGATCGTGCTTTCTGATGCTGGCCAGAACGGACTGGAGTGTTTGCATCTTGAACTTTTTATAGAAGAGATGCGAGTTTAGTCGCTTCAGGTCTAGTATAGCCCTCCAACCTCCCGAAGCCTTTGGTACAACAAAAAGGATGGAATAGAACCCCTTTCCCAGTTGCCCAGCCAGGACTGGTTCTATGGCTCTGATTTCCAGGAGGTGATGAATGGCTTCATTCATGAGTTGTATCTTGTCCAGGTTGCTGGGAGTTGGACAAGAAATGAATTGATCTGGGGGACGGGATGCAAACTTGAAGGAAAGGCCGTACTTGATTGTGCTGAGCACCCAGGTGTCTATGGTGGTGGCCTCCCATTCGCGAATGAAGGAGGTGAGTTTGCCGCCTATGGGGAGGGCCGTCCTGGAGTCACTTGTTTCTTCTGAAGGGATGGCCTCCCGTGCCTCGAAAGGGCCACTTGGCCTGAAATTGTTGACATGATCTTGGAGCGGGGCGTTCCGATTGGCAGTCAGGCCTGGAGTGGAAAGGACGAGGAGACACTCAGATCCTGATCCAGATCAAAATGGCAGCCTATTTGAGTATGGGTTGGACCTCCTGTCTGCCCTTCTGTTAATGTGAGCCAAGACCTTACGCTTGTCCCTGTTTTCCACTAAGTAGGGATTGAGCGCCTCTCCAAATAGTTGCCTGCCGTGATAGGGGTCGGTTGCCAGGCGCCACATCGATTTTAAGTCCGCTCACCATTGCTTGAGCCATAGAAGCCTGCGGGTAGTGACGTTAGAGGCTATGGCTCGGGATGAAAATCTGGTGGCGTGTAGTGATGCGTCCGCTATATATTCGGATGTGGCCACTAACTTACCCAGATTATGATGAGCACGAACCTGGTCCGGGGGAATCATGGTTTGGCGCTCTCAGAGCCATATAATGGAAGTCCTGGCAAAGAAGGAGGTGGAAGTGGATGCCTTCAACGACCATGCTGAGGCTTGGTGAGACCTGCGCAAGGAAAACTCAGATTTCCTATCCTCTGCTTTTAAGGCCTCAGCCATGTCTCCTGACACCGTGGAAGAAGAAAAAATTGGTGTTAGTGAATCATCAACGGACGGAACTTCTAAGAGTTGTGACAAGGCCGGGGCGACATTGAACAACTTTTTGTCCACCTCCCCCGGTGATGGGAAGGTGCCAGGGGTCCCCTATTACTTTTAAATGGTATTCAGGAAAAAGGGGGGACAAGGGATATGTCTTTCGGTAATCGTAGGCTCGGAGAAGAGGGGTTTTGAGTCTTGGTTGGAAGGAGGAACCAGTTGAGGTTCCTGTTCAGGAGAAATCTTGGATGAGGTAGTTGCCTTCATTAGAAGTGATTTAAACAGGTCCGGGTCAAAAAGGCCAATGAGGGAGAGAAGTCCGGAGCAGAATCCTTATCCTTGGATAATAGAATGTCAATTGACCCAATGTCAATTGGGCTTGAGTCTCTGTCCTGAGACGAGTGATCGGACGAGACAGATTCAGGATACCCCGGGGGTTCCACCTGATGGTTCTGAGGAATCATGGGAGTCACAAATTCTGACCTGGGCCCCTGAATGAATGAAGATGCCATTCCCTGGGCAAATGCTTGAGCCAGTAACGCCTCAGTTGTTCTGGTTGAATCCCTTGAGGCTCAGTGGGGCGAAGGCCAGCCATGTGGGTGTGAATGTGGCCTCTGGTGCCGACTGGGACCTGGGTAAAAGGGCCACCCTTTGGGGGCTTGTTCCCTGTTTGAGAGGCGGGCCTTCTGCTTGTCTGGCCTCACCTACTGGGGACCAGGCCCTTTGAGCTAGGGAACCAGATGGGGCCAGCTGTGGGTTAAATAGTGAGCCATCATGTGGGACCTGGGTACCCTGAACTGTCTCATTGGTGTTCAGTTGTTGAGCCTTGGAGAATTGTTTCTCCAAGGCCAGGTGTCTCCTGCTGGCCTCTTTCTCTGCTGCCTTAGAGGGCTTTTTACCAGGAACAGCTTTGGCCTTGGCCTTAAGCTTTCCTGCACCTTCAACATGGAGGACTTGGGATTCCCTAGCACGGGAATGTCAGGAGCATCCTGGGCGGTCTGTGGTACCACATTGTCTGCCATCACAACTGAGATCCTTGAGTGTTGTACTGAGAAGGATCTCAGACTATGGAAGCGGAGCGCTGGGTATGGATGTGATCCCAGATACTGGCAGAGCCAGTAATTGCTCTAGGCTATGGTGGACGCTGGACCGGTGGGCCTCTCTTATACCAAAATGCTCCTGATGGCTTTTTAACAATGCCTGAGAGTGCACTGATAGCGCAGTGGTCAGGCGGATGGTGCGGCCAAAATCACAATTTGGCAAGCACCTGCACACTCGTCCCTTGTTAAAGGCAGCAGATGACCTTGGAATTTAATACTACTGATTTAATTTTTTTTCTTTTTTTAAATTAATAATTTAATAATTAAGTTAATTAGTAATACCTATTCCTTATCATGAAATCAATTAATAATACTGGCTTGGCTAGCTGAAGATCAGGCCGGTTTGTGATCTGTTGCTGATTTTTTGTCGATCAGCTGGCCTCCAGTTGAAGCGGCAAATTTAAAAAGTACAAGCTGTGCTGGCCAGGTGTCCAAAATGGCGTTCACGAGTTTAAGGCAGATGCACTGAGGGATCCTCAGGGCCGAGGTTCAGCTGTGGAGCCTCCTCTGGCCTGTAGCTAGTTGAGACGTTCAGTTGTTCTCCAGCTGGAGCGGTAAATTTTAAAAGAGCCCAGTTGCGCCGGCCACATGACCGCGTGTTCAAAATAGCGGCCACGTGCTGAAACGAAGCTTTTGATTAATTTTAGTCCTGATCTATTTTGGGGCAGCACTGATCCCAGTGCTGGAATTAAGGAAGAGAATCCACAAAGGGGAAAAAGGAAAGATACAACCTGTCCAGAAGTCTGATAAGGGAGCCAACCACAATTGTGTCCTGCTGGGCTGAAGACTAAGTCGTGTCTGGGAAGAAGCACAGGACCCAGAAGGAGGCATGGCTACTTTGTCAGACTTAGTCTAATTGGTCAGGAAGACAGTCTAAACCCATTCGTAGACTCTCCATCATCATGCTGGAGAAAGGGATAGAAGAGGTTGAAATGGTTAGATAGTGTCATCAATGCAATAAGCATGAATTTGGGCAAACTGCAGGAGATAGTGGAGGACAGGGGGGCCTGGCATACTATGGTCCATAGGGTTGTGAAGAATTGGATACAACTCAGTGACTGAACAACAACAACAAATACAACAATGACACAATCAAATCTCCACTTGTATAGGTTCAAGGGAATAACCTTGAGGGATTGGATTAAGACCACTATCAAAACAAGGTGCCTGAATCCAGAGGAAAAAATGTACTGCAACATGAGTAAATGTCTCAGGCAAGCAGTCCCTAGTTCTCAAGAAGATAAATGAAAGGAGAGAGAAGCACATTCAGCCTTACAAAATTCTGTACTATAGCTTTACAATAAAAGCATAACTGATTTACATGGCACTGGCTTCTTGGTCTGATCTAACTTGAAATCTACCCAAAACTGAGCCTACACTGATCTAGAGCAACTTTCCTTCTCAGGTTCAAAAGAGTCACAATAACTGATTCAGCCACACCATCTTCTTAAAGAGAAGCTTATTTCCAGTTCCTCCTTTGTAGCAGACAATCATCATTCATATATTTGCATATTATAGTTGAAAAGGGCAGAAGTTGTGTGTTTAAAATTCTTCTTGGGTGTCAAAGCTAAAATATTTCAAATTGACAATAACTAGAAATAGTCATGATTAACAACAAAATGCAGTTGTAGAGTTTTAAAAACATTGTTTAATCGTGTCTTCTATAGAAGGATGCAAGTTATGTCTACAATCTGCATCAGAACTTTCTGCATCTTCAGGTCAAATCTTATTTTATTGCACCAGTTACAAAAAGCTGTTCACATAGAAGCACTAGATTTCATAGGATCTTCTAATCTTTCCATTATGCAATCATCAGAAGCTGAGCACAAATGCTGAATGACCACACAGATGTTATATATATCACCCCTGCACTTTAGCTAACAATGGAATTGAGGGGAAATGGAACTCTCTTATATTTGCATTGTAAATGAAATATAAACCAACAATAACCTGACTATGACATTCATAAAGTAATGTGATTTGCATGCTGATAACTGGCATCTTCCCAGTTTTATGACTTCCCTCTCGCTCCCCAGATCCCATTTCCTCCAAGAAGAAATGATTTACTTGAATTGCTGGTCTTTGGTGCTCCTTGTTTTTGCCAGAAATCGTTCAGCCAGCTTCTCCAAGTTCCTGGAGTAATCCATTTCAATTTCAGCTTTCTTGCGAAAAAAATCCTGCAAATCCTGGAGTAGTTGGACTCTCAGTTCACATTGCTGGTCAAGACATTTCAGTTGTTCAATAAGCTGGGCTCGAATCTCTGCAAAATAGGGGAGGGAGGGAATTATTTATGAAAATAGCATTAAAACAGAAAATGCTATGAACTACCTGAATATATTTGCTACCTATAACTGTTAAAGCTAAATCTCTCTAAAGTCAAATAGCAACCACAATAACCATTCTGAGCTTTCTAAAGAAAAACAAGTAAATATATATAGTGGTGTGAGACATAAATTCTAAGTCGTTACATAGGTTTAAACTCAATCAGTTTCTGAAGCACATAGAACGATCAAGATTTCTAATATTATAAGGTTCTGAAAATAAACTGGGATAACCTCATAGTCACTGCTCTCAACTCTTTGGAGAAAAGGCAAAATATAAATCCCCCCCAAAAAAGGATATTAAAAACAATTTTTAAAATGAAAGTTAAAGTTCCTCTTGATCTTCATATCCCAATGGACCTTAATTAAATATTAACTAAAAATCCCCCTTCCTCACTGGGTCAGCTGATTTTTTTTAAAAAATCCACCAATTACTATTGTGCATTAGACACAGTAGGCAATGAATAACAAAACAACCTGATTCCAATGCAATCTACTTATAAGGATGATTTTTACTGGTAAAGAGTCTATTAATAAGCCATGTCAAGGATACATTAGCAGTCATTTTCCAAAAGGGGACTGAATCGCAATCTAGATAAAGGCCACAGGGTTGGATAATGTTCTAATTCTCCACTCTTAGCTCAAATTTCCTCTAGAGACACTATTAAATTCCTTTGCAGATTATTCCTACGGCAAAACCAAAGCACTGATCATGCCATACATTTCCCAGAAGATACCAATTTGGGACTATTCATGCTGGGTCTCCAACTGCGACATTGCAATTAAGCATAGCACATCAAATTGTGAATGGTTCGCCTTTGAAAAGTCCAACAAATTTGCATGCCCAGTTGGGAAAGGTCACAAGAAAGACAGTTTCATTTTTCATGGAAAGAATGCCTTTGAGCAAAATTTGCAAGCAGATTATTTTTGACTGCATGCAGGGTGTTTTGAGTGCAGATGATGCTGGTGGTTAATACACCATTTTTTTTAATTTAGCCTTAAAATATTTCAAAAAGATCACCCAATGTTTGTAGTGTAATTTCAGAATTTACCCTCACATATTCCCAATACATGGAAAAACTAATTTTGCTAACAATGTGGTACTGAATCTCGAAATTCATAGCATTTTTCTTGGACTCTACAATGAAATTCTACATATTATTGCTTTTAGTTACGGAATGCTAAGTTTTTTCATGCCATGAATATCTCCATCCAATCCCTCTTTTTCAAATTATCAAATTATATTATTTCCTCTTCACATCGCTGAGCTCACAAATGCTAATCAAAGATGCCTGATGTTGCTGAATGTTTGCTGCAATCTTTCTGAGCTTGTTCAAAATTGAATTTATATTAAATACAAGATGTCCTTGACTTATGACTACAATTGGGAGTAGAATTTCCATTGCTAAGCAAGGCAGTGGTTAAATGAGTCACACCCAATTTTGCAACTTTTTTGTCACAGTTGTTAAGCGGATCACTGCATTAGATAAGTGAATCAAACAAATTTGGCTTCTCCATTGGCTTTGCTTGTCAGAAGCTGGCTGGGAAGATCACAAATAGTGATCACATGACCCTGGGACTCTGCAACCTTATAAATACATGCCAGTTGCCAAGTGCCTGAATTTCGTTCATATGGCCATGGGGAAGCTACATCCATAGTAAGTGCAAGGACCAATTGTAAGTAATCTTTTTCAGTGCCATTGTAACTTTGAACAGTTGCTAAAAGAACGGTTGTAAATTGAGTTCTATCTGTAGTTCAAGTAACACAACATTTAACATTCAGTATATTTCTGCCTTTTTTATAGATACAGATCATCTATGTAAAAAACTTGATGGAAATTGTTTCATTCAGGAAAAGATGTGTTTTCCAAATATTTTACTTTATAAACTGACTCTTCTCTTTTTTCCTTTCTTGTACTCAAGAAACACACAAACGCACAAATTATAAATTTTATCTAGATGAGACATAATTGCTGAAAAAGAGCTTACAGCAGCATTTCTTAACTTGTTGCTTTTCACATAAAACACCTGGTCAGGAATTGCATCAGGCCTCTTAGTAAAGAAATCCACATTACACACCAATTTTCTGAGTCCTGGATTGTAATTTCGCTTGGAAGGACAATTTGAAAAGATAAACTGTCTTTCTTTGGGCCAAGGATCAAGTGTTAAAGCCAATCCAGGAAGAAAATGCACTTCATCCATCACTTCTTTTAATAATTGATCAGAACAAATGAATTTAGCTGCTCAAAATTTTTCATATTATAGATACAACTTCATAGTTATCCATTATCAAAATCACATGAGAAAAAGTTATAACTCCCATGAAATCATAATATGTCAATACAATAATCCAATGTAAACAGATTCAAAATTCACATTTGACCGAATTGTAACATGCCCTTTATTTCTCCTTTTAATTATCTTGTGTGTGCTTGTTGTTTATAAGAAAATCAAAATCCAATGTATAACACATATGAAATTAAACTATGAACTACTAATTTCAAATCAATGATATACCCCAACCAATGAGCTATTTTAAGTATTCCAATTTATTTTAGATCCAGCCATCTATTTTCTCCTAAGTATGTTTAGATATGGGTTTCAAAAGAGAGCCAGTTCCATCTAATAGTTAAGGCACCGGCTAAGTATGTTTGCTGCCTTGAATTATTTATAGGGAAAAAAAATAAATGCAGGAAATAAATCAATAAAAATGGTTAACATCAAACATTGCTAAAAAGAATTAAAAATATTCCATTGCAACTACATATAGATACAGTTGCTCACAAAAATACAACTATATCACAAGTTATAGATGACATATGCAGAGATCCCATACATAGCTTCTCATACACATACAAGTTTGCCCTTTCTTTGTTTTTCACTGATTTTCTCATAAAATTAGTAATTCATCAAGCACAATAATTTCTATAGTTAAATAACAACTACATATCTGCTGCACATTTGTATTTGGGCACTACTAGAGAAGTGATTAAGAGATCTGATTCTTGGGCAACCAGATCCAATGGAAATGCTGAAGTGTTAGATTTTACTACTTATAGTACGAATAAATGAGATATTTTATCTTTTGAAGCCCAAGCTGGAAATAAACTGCTAATTACACTATTTAATTAAGTTTGTTTAGAAGTTTTTTCTGCTAATTAATATACTATCCAAAACATTCCAATTATTAGCTCTAGAAAGAATTTACTATAATATTCAGCACTAACCTCTATCTTCAGTGCACTATGTTTCAGATAATAATAAACATAATAATGATATTATATATATTATTAATCATAATAAAGAACATCCAATAATAATTTCAATGACTTTCAAATTAAATATTCAATCATAATTTGCCAAGGCAAGAGAAATCATTTTGAAAAAGTTTACAATACATTTAATACAATATATTTCAGAATAATCTACTATATTACAAAGCAGCACGTATTAAGAAGAATGTTATTTCAAGACCCCATGCCTTACTCACCCCACAATGTGTCTTCTGAATTATTAACAAGTCTTGATTATGCAACTAATCTGACATGCATATACAAGAACAAAGTTCTAAATGAAGCAGATAAGCTCTTTTGCTTCTTCAGATATCTATTATAATCAACACTGTATTACTGTTTGCATAAAAGGGAAAGTAACGGCTGACTGAGTTCCTGGCAGTGGCATACAAGAGTTTGTTGAAAATCTATGTATCCTACTACAGAAGTATGAAGTATAGAAGACTGGGTCTTGTTCATAACTTTCTCTTTTTCAGCAATGTTTTGTTCTGGTTGCACATAAAGAATATCAAGGGTATTGGTACTGTATTTCCTGAAACTCAGGTAACTTCTAGGGATATAATGTTTTTTGGTAATTCTGTCACTTATGTAAACAAGAGAGATATTCAGTCTACTGTCAGAACAAACTGCAGCTAGTGGATCACAATACAGTTTGCAGAAAAAAAATGCCCTTGCAAGTTCAATATGAAGACTCAAAAAACTTGGAACTTGAACTATTAGAGGCAATTTAAATTAAATTGGAATGGACTGTATCTCTATTTTTTAAGAATTCTGAATCCATTTATGAGGATGATATTTTAACACCTACCATAAATTACAGAGAACAAATAAGGAAAAGACCTAATTTCAAGCATGAAGTTTAAACATGAATATAAATATCAACTTAACCTAGAATACACATAATAAGCCTTTCCTGATGATACTGAAAAACCTTCCTATCTATTTACATTTAGGGAGATTATAGCAAGTTGCAAAAGGGCAGAGCTGGGGTTATTCTCCATGAATATATATTGATAGTTTGCAATGGAGAACCTCTTCTACCCATTTGGTTTCTCCATGCAGTAGAAGACGTAGACAACTCAGGGCTTTGCAAACAAACCTCTTGTGCACTGAATCAAGAACTTCCATGGTTCAAATTAGTCATAGGGAACTTCCTGCCTATGACCTAATGCAAGTCATCTATTGCATTTAATAAATAAAATATAGCAGGAGTGTATTTTTTTCTTTTTATTTTTTTTGTAAACATAAAGAATGGTTTGAATACTGAGGGAAAATTAAGTTTAAATAAGAATTTTGAAAATAGAACACATAGTGACCTAACAAGATGACTTTTACAAATACAATTGAAACATAAGTTAATTAGAAAAGATGTTATATATGGATGCTATTGTTATTCATATAAACACAAAAATGTTTATATCCAACCTTGTATGTATTGAAAATATTACTATATTTATCTAATGTTGACAAGGGAGAATAACATTGGAAGAAAGGAAGATCAAGGAATTATAGAAATTAATTATTATTGATTGTTTTTCAAATATATGAACCCAGACAACACACTGTTTACTAAGCACTGAAGATTGTTATTGCAAAAAAAATCAATAAAATATATTTTAAAAAAGAACTTCCATTGTTCAAATTAG